TGAAGCCTTATCAGCAGCAGTAAAACGACAAGTTCCTGACCTTCGGCGGTTCGCTATCTAACATTTTATAGAGAGGTTTGTGCATGCAATATGACGGGAAACAGAATACATGTACTAAAGTAAAAGTTTCTGGATATCTTTAGCCTAAAGATATCCAGAAACTTTTTTTTTTTTTTCTTAGCACCTAAAGACTTTAGGTGCTAAAACACCAAACTGTTTTAACATGGCTACATCTTCTCACATTCAAGCAGCGGCAGAATGTTTGGGAGGGAGGCCAAGTGTGAGTCCTCGGAGCTCGCTTCTGGCGAGCTAGTGGCGGACGCACACACGAATGACCCCCCTGCCGACGCATCAGCGGCTGCTACAGCGCAGTCACTGGCCATCGTCACCGTGAAGAATTTTGTGAGCGGCACCATGGGCGGTGGTTGTGAAGCATTCGTGGGCTATCCCCTCGAGACTGTCAAGGCGCGTATGCAGACGCAACAAAACAATTCCAGAGCATTCACGGGGCCTTTCGACTGTCTGAAGAAGAGTCTACAGGACGGAGGCGTCGCATCTCTCTATCGTGGCGCGTCGCCGCAGATCTTCCGATCAGCCATGAGGTACTGAAATATTTATTCAGGTTCTTGAGCATGCTTTTCCTATTTTTTAAATGAACTTTTACTGTACCGCTGTAGCGCATCGATCATGTTTGGGCTCATGGGGCAGTACCGCTACTTTTACTCTAAAACGCTGTTCGACAACCCGGACTATGCGCTGATAGCTGCTGGAGTTTCGACGGGTTTTACTGAGGGAATGCTCTACACTCCTTTTGAAGTGATTAAAGTCAGGATGCAGACGCTATATGGAGGCACCAAGACTCGAATCAGCAACTGGCAGTGCGTTAGGGACGTGTATAGTCGAAATGGAGTGGGAGGACTCTATCGCGGCTTCTGGCCGACGGCAGGCCGCGAGATGTGGGGTAACGCCACGTATTTCATGGCGTACGAGACAACCAAGGATCTATTGCTCAATCGTTTTGTGCACAATGTACCTGGATTGTCGCCGGAAGCGGCGAATTTGCGCACGTATCAGTCCATCGCCTTCTCTGGAGGCTGCGCTGGCTTCATGTATTGGCTCGTGGTGTTCCCCGTAGATACGGTAAAGTCCGTCCTCCAGGCTGATCGTCTGGACAAGCCTCGCTTCAACGGCATAGCTGATTGTTGTCGACAACTCTATGCTGAAGGAGGACCCACGCGGTTCTACAGAGGAATCACACCGTCATTGCTGCGAGCATTCCCTGCAAACGCCGTCACCTTCGTCGCCTTCGAGAAGACTATGAGCTTTCTGAACCAACTTTTTTAACCAGATAATTCGCTATAGAATTTAAATTCAAAAATATAACGAGTTTTTTTTGTTGTTGCTTGAAACAAAACTCTAAAGTGCTGTTTTTAGTGTCGTTAAAACAGTACAATCTTCATCTTGCTGTCTTCCTTATTGAGTTGCGGGATGAAATAGAACTGCAGCAGGTCCACCATCTCAGTAGCTGTGTCGTTCAGCTCCAACACAGTGAGCTGCTTCTTGTCCTTCTCCATATCAAAGATCACGTGCGTCATGTGTTTCAGCGACAGCGCGTCCATCTCCAGCAGCTTCTTGACGCGAGCAGGTGTACCCACAGCAATTGGCGAGTAGCTACTCGCCAGCAGCTTCGCCTGTTCTTCCGGCTTTTTGTGCTTGGCGAAAAGCTTCAAAACGTTACACTTGAACGACTTCAAATGCCTATCACAAATATCACAAAACAATTAATACATACAAGTATGCTACTAAAATTCCATCCTGTTGCACTTACTTGATGACCTCAAGACATCGCAGCGCCGACGAGCACAGAATGAGGAAGTACGGACTCTTATCACGACGTTTTCCCTTGCCCAAAAAGTCTCGCTTGAACGACGGCATCAAGTGGTGGATGTAGGATGGCAACAGATCCAACCTGTGCTTGCCTACACCCTTTGGAGCCACAAAGTGCGACTCTAAAAGGCATTAATACAATTTAGCACGTTTCAACGTCGTTATAACCGCGTTAACTGCTTACCATTGAGTCCGTCCGCGAGCTCGAGCGACGTCATCTGGCCACCACGGTGCTTGATGTAGGCGTCGTTGACGATCTTAAAGTGATCCGCCTGCGTCATCTTGTGCAGCCCCTTGGCTCTAGGCATGGGGCGCTTTAATCCACAAATTCACATTAGCCACATTAACTACCACAGTTAATAATCAATTGCAATACGCACTTTGGTGTCGGTCTTCTGCTTCTTGGTGGCGTTCTCGTCGTCCTCGTCGTCCTCGTCGTCCTCGTCATCCATTAGGTCGTCCACCTCCTCGCGTTCACGCTTGATGCCTGAGCCGAGTTCAAGCTCCGCCTCCTCCTCGAACTCATCCTCGCTACCGGCGGACAGGACGCTCTCGTTGTCCGAGGCGTCGACGGCCTCCGCCGTCCAGTTCATTTCCAGTTCATCGTCGTTGCGAGTCGCCATGGTGGTGTCGAATTCCGGTGTGTCGTTTGGAACCAATGGTGCTGTTCATAGAACCTCCGTTTTGTGATAGTTTTAGATTATGTCTTGGATTTGTAAGTGGAAACAAGTTGAATTCACACCCCTATTTAAGAATACTTGATTAATTTAGCCATATGAAAATAGAGGTTTATATCATAACGATAGAGGATTGGTCATAGAGAGCTATCTTTCGTCGTCGAGCACATCTCGCAAACACTGTCCGTGTCATCGTTGACGAACGTGCAGGCAGAACACACCCACACGCGAGTTTCATGGCCGTTGGCCATCGCCAAAGCCATAGCTCGGTCCCCGCTGGTATCTGGAGCTTTATCAAGTTTCACAATTTGACTGATAGTCGACGAATGCGAAAGGAAAACCGAGTCTGCGAACCCCACTTCACGCTCCTGGCTTTCTTCCATCACAAGATCATCCGCATTGTCTTCCGATAACCGCATGAAGACAGCGTCGCCAGCTTTGATCCTACCAAGTATTACATTAAAAGTCAGAGGTACTTCAACAACCTATACCTTGATGAATAAATTACGTACCCGCATTGTTTGAGTGTGCGATGATCTTCTAGCAACTTTCCTTTATAGTAAAGTCGCTGTCGTATGGGCAACGCATCGATCTCCGCATAAATCTTCGCCTTGAGCATATAAACTGTATCGGTAGCACTAGCTGCAACAGGCCAAGTACACACTGCACCTGGTCGGATACGTCGCGACCGCCGTCGACCCGAAGTATTAGCGTCCGAAGTCAAGTTCTCGGTCGTCGGAACTGCCTGGTCATCACTCAGTTGCTGGACGTTAACCACGCGGTTCGAGAAGTTCTCAAGCTCATTCCTGTGTCTTCGGTTGGAATTTTCTTGACATTCCGCGCAGATAACGCCCTCGTTGTTCTCGTCTTGACATACCAAAGGCACGACACCATCAGGACAACCTTCACAACTGATAACCTTCTCGTTTCCATACTGGAGCGAAGCTAGTGAGCATTGTCGCCACACCACAAAAGCTTCCTCTTCTCCCGAATCCACTATGATAGTCTTAAGAAGACCATAGAAAAATGGCATCTCCGGGTCACCGTAACGTTCAACAAGTGCCTGCATTTCGTCCATCGTCACCAGCTCCACTCCACTTCTAATGAACTTGCATCGACGACTTGACCCTGTTGTGCTGCTAACAATCCAGGCGGTAGTACTAATTTCTGGTGCGAACACAGCAAAGACGACAGCGTTAATGGATCCGGCGATTCTTCTTCCACGTTGCGAATGTACTCCCTCCACTGCGCAAGCCAGCGACGAGATACCAGAAACATTCGTCGTGGAAGTCTCGCTGCGTCTCGTTTAGTCCATGACGAAGCCTTTTCCAGTCCACTACCACGATGTGCGGCCGGAAGCTCAAAGATGTCGACAAGCCGGATAGATTCTCCTCGAGGTTTTCGTCGATACAAATTATCTAAAGCAGACACTGAAAGAATTTCATCACGTGCGTCACGCTCCACTTGAATACACTCCTTGCTCGCCATGTCATCAACCTGACATTGTGGGCACGTCTCGGTTGCAGACTCGGCGTATTCAGCACGATACGGGAATTTGGCGCTGAAATGCGACCATGTTTCTGCTGATACAGGTCGATACGTTCGCTTTTCAAGCGTAAGATTACCATGGACGCACGTAATGTCCTCGTTTATGGGCTTTTGCCACACACCCAGCCCATTGTCCCCCACATTATCACCACCATCCTTGAAAAACCCATTGATGTCCTGGGATGTCAGTGATCTCCTCCCTTTCTTGCTTTTTGAAGCTGCGTGCGAGAGCTCCTTGTGCAACATTTGCAGGTGAGTCTTGTAGCTGTTTATCCATGCCCGACTCATAAAGTAAGCACCTCCCGATGCCACAACAGCCGCCACACTAGCAGGAGAGCCTCTCAACAGCGCGAGTTCCTTGTCCACTTCTTTCAAGCGATCCACGTCATTCAAGAGTTTGTTACGGAATTCTTTCTCACACGCCGCGCAACGATATGTAGGTGCTTCAAACGCTCTCATCGGCGTGAATGTACCCATCGATTTATCAGATTCTTGACCACAGTTTTCGCGTAAATATGTAAATAACTTCGCCGATATTCGCTTCAGTCTCGGCGCATTCTCGGGAGCAAAGCGAAGAATCGGTTGATGTGCGCCAGTGTCAAGTCCACTGGAGTGAGCGCAGCAATAGCGTGATACATTCACCGCTTTCGTAAAGGGTATGTCTTCGTCGTTTAGCTTCATAGCCCCAATTGCGTCAACTTCGACTTCTACATCAGGAGGTGACGCTGATGGAGGCGTCTCTTGAACAATTTCCACATCATCGTAATGCGTTGCGTTCAACTTCTCGTCCCCCGAACATTCACTTTCTCCCACAGTGTTGACTTCAGGTGCATCGACGATAACACAATCATCATCTTCAGTCCGATCATTCGACTGCTCCTCTGCGTTCGGGATGGCGAACTTGGACTCCTCTTTTTCGTGCGGAGACGTCGACTTCTTCTTAGCAGAGCTATCATTCTCCTCGCCTGTAACCCAGCGACGCAGCCATTCAGTATCCACCCAGTAGAAATGCGCAGCAGACGTATCCGGATATGGTTGACTTTTCTCGAAAAAGCGCTTGTACGCCTCAAGCCTCTTCCGGATGCGTGCTTCCATTCCACTCACTTTGCTGGCGTACTCTATAACTTTGGCATTAAATGCAACATTAAGCGCCTCCACCTTGCTTCGACAGACTGCAGAAGGTTCCGGCATCACGTTTACATAGCCATTTCGCGTTGAACGCGCGTTTCCAGCGCTGCTATTCTCATCTCGAACGTAAAGAAGCATATAGATATCACGAGAGCGAATTTTCTTACCGGACGCGCGCTCTTTCGCCGCGTCGGACTTGGTCATATCGGTCACGGCTGCATCGTCAAATTCAAACCAGTCCACTGCAGATTCATCTTCTTGTTGCCCACTAACTCTCCCTGGTTTAGAATATGCCACGGATGCTGTGTAGTGCCCTACGTGCGCACTTTTTCCACGGTGATTTAGATAACCCTGTAACCGGTAGATCACATCGCCAGACCCATTAAACGCCTCGGCATGGCCACTTCGACGCAGCAACTCGGTCATATTTAGCGTCTCGTTAATTTCAATGACGTCCTGCATCGCATCGAAACGTTAGTTTACGCAACCTTTACTTCAAATCTCCCGAAGATATACAACGCACCGTCAGCTTCTTCTTCCGTCCAGCATTAGCATCGTAGACGAATCTCATTAGCTGCACCATTAGCGTTGGCGGCAATGACTGCGGTTTCAGCTCAAGGTAACGTTCAGCACACTGTTTGGTATCGCAATGCTCGCAGAAATATTTGTTCTCTCCTTCCAGCACCTCCGCCGACAGGTACGATCCAATACAGTCCTCCACAGTCTTATGGCCCTTGATGTTCAATGAAATCTCGTAATACGACGACAGTCGCATGGACTTGTTCTTGCACTTTAAGCACTTGGTCACATAGCTCATCTGTCCCTGGAAGATCCGGTCCACCAAGTCCCAATGTCTCGAAAACCGAGACTGACCAAAAATCGTGCGTAAATGTGCCAACAACAACTTGCTAAATTCCTGAAACATTAAAAAAAAAATATATGGTAAGTAAAATAAAAACACACCAAAAAAACTATTTTACCTGTGCATCTTGCTGCATGACATTGTTGAGTGACAATGTGGACGCAAATTCCGTTGGGTCATAGTAACTTTCATTGCCCAATTGCATCTGAGCGAATAGTTTCTGCAGCGCACGCATCTGCTGCGTCTGCTCCTTATCCACAAGCTGTTCCTTGGGTTCCCACTCGTACACGGCCTGGCGGAAGGGCAGGTTGACGAATAGGCACTGTAACATGCTGTTCAGGTAGCACGTAGCGCCGAGATTACGCAAGCCGCAGGGCATGGGATCGCCATGTTTACTCGACACGCGTTCGCGCTCGCGAGGGTCGTCGCCAAACACGCGCCGGACGAGTTTCGAGCCCTGCCACACGCCCTTCTGACGCTCCCCAAGTCCGTAGAGGCAGTTGGGGTTGTCCACACAGTTGCGCAACACATTCGCATTCTTGCCGCGCTTGCGGTGGTGGTCCGAGAAGCGGCAGGGAGGCGTCTGTAGCAGATACGGGTCAGTCAGCCGAGAGTCTCGAGGCTCGGCCTCGCGCTTCCGCTTGCTGGGTGGCATTCTGCTCTCAAATACTTCGAAGTACTGAAGACGGAGGGGGCATTGTCGGAAAGTGATTGGAGGAAATAAAAGGTTGGGCGCTTTTCTAACTTGAAAAAGCAACAATTCACAAATACAGACAATTCATTCCCCGTGTTCATGTTAACGAACATTATTTTTTTTAACACGATATATCTCTAACACCAGGCAGGCTTTCCGGAGGTCTGCACCATGGAAGATTCCTATTGGTCAATAGCCAAAAATGAAATTGAATCAAGCCATTTCACGCAATTAACTACGAGTCTTCTAAGTACGATAATCTTTTTTTTTTTTTTTTTACTGGCCGTAACTTGAAAACTACGTGTATTCCAAGATTCCATTATTCTTAGAATATTGTCGTCTATATGTACACAACGATGCTCAACTATGTTTAAGATAATGAGAGTTACAAATAGCTGATAGCGCGCGTGTTTGTTGCAGAAGTGGGATGCTTTTTGCAGCATTTTATCCAGATGCCGTTGCGGTCATGCGCTGCCAGACTGCCAGACTGCCAGATTCACAGATGCCTTTTCGGAGTACAAAACTCGTGTTACGGAGCAAACCCGAACGAGCGAACTGCTTATTGCGTAGACACGTGGTATTTTTTGCGAAGGTATAGTTACGAACAAGCGGCTTTGGCTCGCAATTCACAGCAACAGTGCTAGAGGCCAGTCAGAGAAGTCAACCGCATTACAAAATAGTTTGTGAGCGCGTCCGATGATGGACTCTCGCAAACGACAGTCATTGGGCAGTTGGGTGCTAATTTTTAGACAAACCAGTTTTTTTTTTTCGACTTGTCACTTTGTATCAACTACTTTTTGTGATTTAGATTGCATAAGTAGCTAGCCGATAAGTAGTTGAAAATGTAACCGAGCCACAAAATTAATACTCAACTAGTGGAGCCGAAGTGACTGCTTGAAATACAAAATATAACGTGACCTAGTGTACTACCTTTTATTTCTGACCAATGCCTCCTTGATAGGGCTCGCGTAAAAGCCCACACAGGCTGTTACAAACACTTGGTGTTACAGCCAAGACAGGGGTACGCCAGTTATTATCATTAGTACGGCGTATTTATGTTGTCGGCACACAATTATACAGTAGTCGTATTGTGATATTGTTCTTATAGTCTAGCGAGCAAGGTATTCCGACGAGATTGCCAGGAAGTCATCAACTGAAACGATCATTATTGCGAGTATTACAACTAGCTCTTGCACTCAATGAGTAAAGCACTTGTACACGCCGTCAGAACGGTAAGTGATTAAGCCTCCGATACCGGGGTGATGCTCGTCCAAATTGCACCAACTGAGTCGAGCTCCTTGGCGCTGTATCCGACAAACCCGCCTAGCTGGTATCCAGCAGGAGCGGTGTCCACGCCAATATTTTCAGTGGGGTTGCCGCCAGAAATTGTATTGCCCTCAGTGGTGTTGAAACGGATGTACTTGATGCGAGTATGGCTGTCTTTCTCTCCCCAGTGTGCCTCGATGGCATTAATGTACTCACCTGCACCCAGCGTGAGTGTGTTCTTGTCGCCTCCGCGTCCACCGTGATACAAATTGACCTTCTGGCCGGATGTATCCGTGATATCGAGGCCAACGCCGTTGACACGCTCACCAGAGCGGATCGTGATGGCTTGCACGGTTTGTCCGGGACCAACCAACTCCAGGTCAGAGTACTTGTTGCCATGGGGACCGCCAAATGTTTCGCTTAGTTGGACGCCGTTTTTAAGCGCGGCAGCGTTACCCACCGTTAGCGCCGTTGTTGCGAGAACCTGAAGAAGGAATTTCATCGTGACAGATCGTGTGACTGAATGAAGGAATATTTTGGAATGACTTGAGTCCTCGCACGTGAAGCTTCAGCGAAGTACTTAGTACCATATATCCCTCCAGATCTATTTTATGTGTCGTGTAGAGCCTGTAGAGGCTGCCCAGGCCGGAGTTATTCCTTCAATGTATTAAAGAGATTCCAGCAGGTATGGAAGACAAAGATAACATACATTCAAGTGTCAACAAGATATACGATTTCCATCAGGATTCAAGTCAGGATTAGTCGAGGGTGACGTCGCGTGTCGTCAAATCCTAATATTGTCACTCAGTTTTGTATGGAGGCTATTCCGTCGTTGTCTGCATTTTCAAGTTCTATGTACAGATATATATAAGGAGCCGTAAGGGTAGATCAAGGATAGGTTTCCCGTCGAATTCACCTCGATATTACCGTTTAAAACAGCATTTTTTTAATTTCTTTTTTTGCCTTGATTTTATGCTGGATGGGTGCTACCGATGTTATACGAATATGAACAGAAAAGATGCTTTCGTCGGACGAGGATTTTGAAAGTTAACTTCCGACGAATGGTATGAATCTTCCGAGCTGGACGGAATTTCGTCTCTCCAAGCTGGTGTCGCTCTGATCCATATTCGCTGAGGCTCTCGTATAACGCAATTTTGTATTACAGCAATGCCCAAGATTTTGATCCACGAATCATAGCACACGTTTACATCAACAGCGATGATAAGAGTCATGTGAAGCAGGTACGTATGATTAGCTGCTGTACATAATTACATGTGACGGTACGGGACGGATCCGCACGGCCGTCAAGCGCGAGACTTTGTACTTCAGTTTCAAATACCCCAAGTACAGGCGTCAACGAGCGCCGAGTCTGACGTAAACCCAATTCATGCGCCCACTCAAAAATGTTGACGGGGTAAATTCTGCTCATGGGTGAATCTCAGCTTGAAAAATAATACCAAGATGTAAACTATGATGAATGGCTCATTCGATGGCCCCTGTCATTGAATGAACATACAATGTCGCTAGCCGGCAAGTGCAATCGACAACAGCGAAAACTACCTTTATGTTATTATGATTGTTTAACCGTTCGCATTCAATAAATCGTGCATTGAAGAAGATGTTGATTGGGGCTGTCGACAGACTGGATTTTTTTTAGTTTCTTATTGTGGTTATGGCAAGGCGAATGGCGCAGTGCATTCACGGGAGTCCTAGAAGAGAGCATCTCCTAGAGACAATTCCGCCAAACCATTCCCAATTGTACTTGTATTATGTATGTTAGTGCATTTGTTCCTTATGGTCAGGATTGGTATTACAACAGGGAATTATAGGATTATTTTTGGGGCAAAGCCCCCCTATAATGAAGCATACACTTTGTACTCTCTTTAAGTACAACAACTACTCTTTTTACAGACATTTTTTAACGGTA